CTAGTTTGACTTCCCAGCTCTTGCCATCATTGGTGCCTGACTTCTGCTTTTTAGAAGTCTGACTTTACCTAGAATACTCTATGTAGTATGAAAAACTTCTGAACTGCTTGGAAGCATTTTCTACTGCTTTAGTAACAGGACACTTCTATGAGTTACTTCTCTGCAATGCAGGAATCATTCCTTGTGTTTTTAATTCTTTGACTGATTTTTCTTTTTAAACAATATCCTGAATAAATTTTCCTAGTGCTGATACACCTGTGTTTAGCAGACAACCCATAGGTAAAAGACAAACCCATAAGTAAACCACATTGTGACGTGGTTGGAAAATACTTTATCAAAGTGAGTAAAATAAGATGCCAGTCAGGTGTGTTCAGTGACCTCCTACTGGTCAGACCAGTTATGCTTTATATTTCAGAAAATTCAGAGTACCTTAGCCTTTTCCTGACCACCAAAAGAAAAAGTCTTCCCATACTGCAAATTATTGTAATCCTGAAATTCTGATAGATGTTTTACCCATGAAATTCTCCCGTACCTGTGTGTAACAAGTAGTTGTGTATCTGAGTCTGTCAGTTCCTCACTACATGTTCAGAAGAAAAAAGCGTTTGTTTAGAAAAAAAATAATATATAATGAAAATTGCATTGAACAGCCAGTTACACTTTTAAGAGCAATTTGTCTTTTCTGTAGCCAGTCTCTGCCTTCACATCTTTGCATTAATAACTGCAAAATGTCAGTTTATAAAAATAAATGCATTACAATTACAAAGGTGTTTGGAGACATACTACCCCTGCTGATGGTAAATATTTGACCTAATTACAACTTCGTGGCAGAGGATTCTACTTGCCATGTATACTCTGCCATGTCTATGTTAGGAACCTGGTAGGATCTCTGGGCTGTTTGTTGCTTTATTACTAACTGGAGATTTGAAGGCTGTAACAGACCTGTAAACTTGACTGTTTTTAAGTGTGAAAATGTATCAGACATTTATGTGTTATTTGCTGCTGAAATTGTGGAACCACATTAGTATTTAGAGGTGGAAGGGACTTTTTTCTTTTCATAAATGATGGCCGAATTCTGTTTAATGTAGCGAGGAAATGGACATTGTTGAGTGATTTGCCTAAGGTTACTTAGCTATTTTTTTTTTTTGTCAAACTTCATAATCAGTTCTGTTGCTAAGACAGATATGTGTTGTTGGAGGTACATTTAAATATTCCAAGTGAGAAGTGCTTTCTCATATTCAATATAAATCATTTCCTATTGCTGTTTTTACTGTTTAACCACGACAGTGCGTTTCTAAACATTGCTTTAAGTAAGTTCCAGTGAGCAGCTACATAATTGTGGGACCCTTTGTCAGAAATTGAGGTGCTTCAGGATGGTACAGCAAGGAGACCTCAAAGCCGGTGGCTGATGGGGAACCAACATGGCTGCAGACCCATGACACTGCCTCTGGGAATCCCAGATGTTTTCCTGCAAAGTCTTTTCTTTTTTAAAAAAGATTAGCATACATAACCACAGGGTTAAATATTTTTGTATGCTATGGATATTAATGCATTTTACAAGTCAGGATCACTTTTCCTTCTCTGTTAGTGCATACGTGCTGGGTAGTTTCACTGAAGGGTTTTCAGAAAATTCTTGAGGATGCTAAAGATGAGAAATGAGCAGTGTACCTGAGACCCTAGAGTCTAGAATACAGGAGTCAAGGTTCCCCCAAGTTCAAAGAATAGCACTTGGCTATGCAGGCCTCACTTTATGCATGGATTTGGCGTAAGCATTCAATTTGTAAGATACCTTACAATTAAAAACAAGGGTGTCTATTAAGGTTTATTTTCTTATAATCTGAATGCAGGCAGCTTGTGTTTGCTTATCTCTTCCAGCAATAAGTCACTTCAGTGGTCTTGCAGATTGAATTGACTTCACCTCAGTGAGATGATGTAACCTCGTGTGTACTACTTAGCTTTTTGTTACGTTTAGTGTTTCTACTGAATTAAAATCCAGTGTGTATACGAATACTGTTAATGGGTAGAATATACATACAGTATTTCAAGGTGAGCCTGCTTTAAAGAAGCATTAAACCAAACAAAAAATGATATCCAAGTAATTCATTAAACCAAGAGTGGCAAGTTTTGTTCACAGACTTTTGCATACTTTTATATGGGTTTAAAGACACTGTTTCACAGGATGAACATGGCAAATGTGCCACAACATGTAATCTTCATGTAAATATTTTCATTGATACTAATTTTTAGAAGCTTTCCTTGTGTTAATTGTTATTTATGCATGGTTAATTTTAAGTCTTAGACACTTACACTAGATGTTTTATAACAGAGAATTAAGTCCTATCGTAGGGATATCCAGCTTCTGAAAGTAGAAGTTTTGAAAAGTAATGCTATTCTGCTAGAAGATAAAAATTACCTTTTTAAAGAAGTGTGTCCATTTGAGTAAGTTGAATATTGCTGATAAAAGCCTTACAGTATTAAAAATAAGTCAGCTTTTCCTTGCTTTGCTCTCCACCCTCTGTCAGGAGGCAGGCAACAGTGCCACCATGAGAACAGACAGGTTTTCAGCATTGTAACTGTTAGTTTCCTCACATAGCAAAAGCTCTGCACATCAGGAATGTTTGACAAGCTCAGACATCTAAGCATTTAAAATTTCCCAGTTTTAGAAATTGAGAAACACCAGTAGTATAATCAGACTTTATTGCCTGATAGTCAAATTTGTGTTATTCTTCAGTGACCCTTAATGCCAGGCCATTCTGTATGGGCTGCATGAGATTGATGTCAGTTTGTTTTCATCATTTTTAATTTGTTATTAGAAACAAAGTCAGAGAAGAATATAAAAACGTGGAAATCATCAAGTCTTTTCTGCCATAATGTGCATTTATGGCCAGTGTTTTTCAGTGTTCCTTTTATATGTTGCCTTTTAATAAACTCACACACAACAACAAGAACAATTAAAGAAAAAGAGGCTATGAATTTCAAAGAAAGCAAGAGTGGAGGTTGGGAATATGTGGGCAGGCTAGGAGGGAGGAAAGGGAACAGAGAAATGATGTAATTACTTTTTAATAGAAAGTCCCGTTTTAAAAAAATTTTAAAATAATAAACTGCTAAGTTGATGAGTTTAGGCTCTGTGCTAAAGCGTTAAGTTTTTCTTCCATGTTCTAATGTCTATAGGATACAGCATATTTTTGAATGAAGAGACCTGGTGCCCATCTTTCTGTTGGCATCAAACAGTCCTCTGATATGTTAATGTGGCATTGGGGGAGTGCATGCACAGGATTTATTGGATGAATTCCAAGTCTCAAGGAAAATTATATGTAAAGAACACAGTTTTGAGCATTGTCCCCTTCCAGTGGAAGGGACTATATTGATAGTCTACCATAAAAGAAAACCTTCTATTGAAACGCAATATGAGCTTTTTTTCAAATGTAGCAAGACTATGGTATACTTTTATTATTATTATCTGATTAGTTGCTAGTGAAATTGCAAAAAGTAATTGATTTTCAATTATGTGTTCTATAGGAAAGATTAACCTAATATTCTTACCTTTTTTTAGGGACTTTTTTTTTTTGTCCTATAGAAAGTGAGCACAATGGAGAGGGGAGGGCATTGTTTGTTGCCTGTGGAGAAGAACTCCAGTAGTTTCCATGTAGCTTTGTCTTTTCAGCCAGCTCTCAGCTGACCACAGGTGTGAACCTTAAGGGCTAGCTTTTCACTCTCTCAAATATAGTTTCTTTCTAATCAATACAAAAACAAAAAAAAAATTGGTTGAACTTTCCCAAATGTGGCTTTCAAATACAGTAAAGAATGGGTTTAAAATAAATACATATATTTCACACAGTTAAAATTTTCAGGAAGCTTTGTGGAAAAGGCTGTTGAAAGGCACTTTCTTCACGTTGGTAATTTAGAAGCACTGGTTAATAAGAGGCCCACTGTGCTTTCTTTCTTTCTTTTTTTTTTTTTAATGATTTTTATTTGCAGACTATCTAGTGGGGCTGAGAGCTTGGTTCTTGGATATGCTACTGTCATAGTCTCCTAACAGACTTACTAGAGTAAAATGCACAAAGCCCTAGCTGTGGGCTTCCAGTTGTTTCAAGCAATCTTCCTGTCGGTGTGTAGACCACTGCCTCCTGCTCAGCCTGTAGACACTCTCAGCCGTTTGCTTTGGATTTCCCAGACAAGTCTGCCTCTACAGAATGTAGTTTCGTTCATTCAAAGGACAGGTTTGCCTTGTAATGTGCAGTGGATTTACGCATGAAAACTTTTATACCTTTACTTAATTTTTTAATAAATTATGGTATTTCAGGTCAATGATGTAGCTCAATATTTAAATGGTGTTCTAGAGTGAAGTCATCTGCCTGAAGCAGAACTGTCTTTTGTTTTGTTGTTTTCATTTCTTGATGTTGGTTTTTAAGACAAAGTCTTGTGTGTCAGGCTGGCTTCAAACTCCCTATGTAGCTGAGAATGTACATCTGATCTGTGGCAACCATCTGCCAAGGGCTGGGTTGGAATTCTGACCCCCTCCCCTTCTGTCTCACATGTGCTGAGAGGGTGGGTGTGCAGCATTGTGCTCAGGTTTTGTGTGGTGCTGGTGACAGAACCCAGGGCCTCATGCATGCTAGACACACACTCAGCTGAGCAACGTACCCTGAAAGATTGTCTTTCATTGAGTCTAACTACTTTACTATTTGTTCAGCTTTTAACACCATAGCTTTTCTTCAAATGAAATTTGAGATACATAGATGTGTTTTTTAAATAGTTGGACATTATAGAGATATAGGGTCCCATAGCTTCTGTTAACCTTAAGAATAAACAAGAAGAAATGTAACCTAACATGTCAAGTGAAATTTCTGGTGTTGTTTCAGTATAGAAAAATCATACTTTTTAAGAAATAATAATGGAGAGGTAAAAGTTGATATTTTTCTGTCTTGCTGATTCTGAATGCTGGAATTCAACTTTAAGACATCTGAATTCTCATAATCGCTACTTTGTAATATTTTCAATAGCATTTTAAGAAGCAGAAGAGGCTAATTCCTGAAAGAACTGTTTGGAAATACTTTGTTCAGCTCTGCAGTGCACTGGAACACATGCATTCTCGAAGAGTCATGCACAGAGGTGAGAAAAGCGCTCAGAAGCTGTGGCATCACTTTAAATGACATAAGCCATCAAGCAGTGTCAGATAGCTTCCATTCAGTCCACAGCATTATCCTTTTCTGATGGCTTCTGTCTAAATTATAACTTGTTAGGACCGTAAGCCTTGAAGCACAGCCCTACTTATTATAAATTAGAAGGAAAGTCAGGCTTTTGCTTAACTTCTCTGAATATCTTGCTGGCTCTGTCGGTTCAGAAGGCCAAGCTGTGGGGAATCGTTGCATGTGCACAAGGAGGAGGCTTCAGATAAGTGTGCTGTGGCTATGCAGACTGGTTCAGTGGTCAGCCTCTGTCCTGGATGTACTCTCAATTATCATTCAAGTTGTTGTCCGTCATCAACTGGCTGGTCCGCTGATTTGGGGGTGCGAAGAATTCTGAAGCAGTTTATTTAAGAAATTCCGATTTCTATAACTGTCTAGTGAATACAGTGTGCATGATATTGTTGAGCTATGATTTTATAACTGAGGTAAATATAGCATGCTATTTAGAATTGTTATGAACGGGGCATAAATTTATTTTGTGTCTTAAATTATCATTAATATTTTTTGGAAATGGAAGACAAAAGTATCTGACATGGGTATCAGCAGTCTTCACCAGGCTGTGAAGGACTAGGAAATTTGAAATATATGAAAATTATTTAAAATATAGTGAGTGGTTTATAGTTCAGGTTTTCATATGAAATATACATTTTGAGTTCTTCATGGAAAGAAATTTTATATTCTTTTCAAATTCCCAAAGTTCCATCACCTTTCACCTGATGCCTTCATTTATTCACAGATATAAAACCAGCTAATGTGTTCATCACAGCCACTGGGGTGGTCAAACTTGGAGATCTTGGACTTGGTCGGTTTTTCAGCTCAAAAACCACAGCTGCACATTCTCTAGGTAAGAGACACAATTCCATTTCCATCAGTTTCTTTTGTGTGTGTGTTGGTCATGGTTTAAAACAGGTATGCCAGCTACACAGCACTGATCGCATCCTTTACAAAACTGTTCTAGCAATCAGCCACTCCTGACAGGTACCCGTCCTTGTTACCTTTTGCACGATGCCTGGCTGCTCCTGTTTATTTGACCTCAAGCAGGCCCTGAGATTTTTGTTTTTTGTGGTGCTTTTTTTTTTTTTTTTTTTTTTTTTTTTTTTTTTTTTAATGATGCTGATAAGCGTGGCTTTTACTGTTGCCATGGAGAGCTCCTTTTATCTTATTTGTAATGATTGTGAGAAAACTTAATGAAGAAACTGTATTTTGGAAGAAGACTTCACTGAACATGTTTTAAATGCCAGAAGTTCATCCGTAGTTATTTATTCAAAGGACAGATGACTGTGATAACCATAGGAGAGAAAACCTAACGATGATCCACTGCAAATGAGGAGAAAAATAAAGTCTCCCTTTATAGAGTGGGAGAAATGCCCGCAGTTGATTCTTTGTACAGTTAACATTAGTTTTATGTCCTTTGTATCTAAAATAGAATTGGTGTAACTAAAATATTGCATTAGCAATGGGAAGAAAGTTGTTTTGGATCAGAAACAATAGAAATTCCTAAGAGAAATGCTTTTTAAATTAAGTTAATCTTAATTTATCTCAAGACTCTCCAAGTCACATTTTATATGCATTTCCTAATACACATAAATAGTGGATTTTAAATAAGAAAGCAAAAGTAAATTGGCCTCAATTTAATTGTGTCTATCTTTGCTGTCACAATGTTTTTGAAAACCACTTATTCTTTGAAAACAATATTTAATGTGAAATGAGGGCTTCTAAATGGGCCATTGAAGAACAGTGAGTTAAACAAAATAACCAAACAGTTAAACAAGCATCCAGATATCAGCTGATAGAGATATTTAAAGGCTTTTGTTCCTGATATTGTTGCTAAGATTCCATGTGCCTTTGAACCTATCATTTATTAATATTTTGTAACTAGAACAGAGTTTGGCTTGTCCTAGAATGTGGTGGAAATGCAGACATTTCTTCTACTCTATAGAGGAAGAATTTGTTTTTCTCCTCATTTGCTGTGGATCGTCTTGAGGTTTTCTCTCCTGTAGTTGTCACAGTCACTTGTCCTTTGACTGTATCCTTTCAGCTTTGTTCGTTATGGAGAACATAAAGTTCCATGCTTGATGCCCTGTAACATTGTCCTTTTCACATCACACTTACAGTCACATAACTGCACTACCTTTGCAAAGTGCCAAAATTCGATCTGAAACTTCATAAGAATTTCAATAAATTTGCACAGTGCTGTGATAAAGTTTTATTTGGGAAGTTACAATTTTTGCAGTAGATGTGGTAGATTTCTAGGAAGAAGCCACATCACTTCACAATACTAAAGACACTGTCACTCTGTGCTGCTTACTTGATTGACATGTCATAACAGCATTAACTCACTTGAAACACTAGCTTATTCCTACATACACACAGACAGCATGTGCCTGGGCACACATGTGCATTGCTTAATGCTGTTTTGTGGTCACTCCTGAGCAGCCTGTAGTCATCCAGCCTTCCTGAACTAATGCACAGTTTGAAATGGATTTGGTCTGAGGGTTCCTAAAGAGGGAAAACAAGGCACTTTGATAGCAAATCCATAATGAACTAATTTCTTCAGTAATGTTGTTTTTCATTCTTAGCGGGAAAAAAAACCCAATTAAAAATTCTCCTATTCTTCCTGGTTTTGTGTACACAATGAAGATTCTGATGGTGTAAAATTCATGTTTCCTAAGCACAGTGCACTGGGTAATGCATTAGAGTTTGAACTCTAGTTGGGTAATCATCATTGGACCAAAAGAATCAAGGAAAAGTCACTGCTAACAAAAAATAATGTGTAGTATAGCAAGAATAGAAATGCTGACACAATTTTTGTTGTTGTTGGCAAGTTGACCCTATTTTTACCTCTAGTGAATTATTAGTGTGTTATTGTTAGAAACACTTATTATTATACACAGATTGGTTGGCCTGTAATAGTTGAGAGTGAAAAGTAGAAACATGGCCACCCATATAAATTTATTTTGATGATTAAAATACTGTATATCAACCTATTTATTGTATATTGATGCATTTTCCGGTTTTACTGATGGTAAGGTCTGTGATGTAGTTTGTGTTCAAAGTAGGCCTACTTTCAGTGAAACTGTAAATAAGGTGCTTAATGCAATCCATAAAGAAAAACTATTTCAAGCAGAACAGGCCTCGGCTTTACCTGGTTGTTCGAATGCTTGTCTATGCACTCTGACCTGGATTCTATTCCTAGTGTCACGTAGACTGCAAAGACTGCATGCCTGTAACCCCGGGGCATGGGAGATGAGGGCAGGAGGATCAGAGGGTTCACGTTCGTGTTCTGCCTCACAGCACGTTTTAGGCCATTCTGTTCTGTGTGAGACTTCCAATCAGTCAGTCAAACAATCAATACAGTAAATAAATGAGTGAATAACAAATGAATGAGTAAGTGAATGAATGAATAGGAAGTGAGGAAGGAAGAAAAAAAATGAAAGTACCTGAGTATTAGACTAAAGTTTGTAGCAGTGCCAAAGTTTATTTCACATTGTCAAGAAATTTTTTACTTTAATTTTTAGAATTTATTTATTTTTTATTCACTTTACATCCTGGTTGTTGCCCCATTTCTCTTCCCTTTACTGTTTCGCCCTCTCTCCCTCCCTCTTCCCCCTTGCCTTTTCGTGCTCATCAAGCTGCATGCATCAGGACTAAACATGTCCTCTTTCCCTGTAGTCTGGCAAGGCAGTCCTACCAGGGGAAAGTGATCAAAAAGTTGGCAAGTGAGTTCTTGTCCCATGCAGTTCCCGCTTCCCTTACTAGAGGACCCACACAAGGCCTAAGCTACACATTTGCTATGTCTTTGTAGGAGGAGAAGGCCTAGGTCCAGTTCCTGCACGGTCCTTGGTTGAAGCTTCAGTCTCAGCAAGCCCCTCTGGGCCCTGCTTAGTTGTCCCTGTTGGTCTTCTTGTGGGCTCTTGTCTCCTGTCACCTCCAGGTCCTTTTTTTCTCTTTGCTCCCACTTTTCCATAAGACTCCTTACTTAAAGCCCACTGTTTCACTCTGAGTCTCAGAATCTTGTTTTGAGTCACTGCTGGGTAGAGTCTCTCAGAGGACAACTCTGTCAGGCTCCTGTCTGCAAGTTTAGCAGAGTATCATTTTCTTTTTTTTTTTTTTTTTTTTTTTTCTTTTCTTTTTTAGAAATTTAGTTTGAAACTGCAGCATTCTCAGATTTTGGAAGGAATATCCTTACACAGTATTCAACCTCCCCACCCCCGAAGTTGTGTACATTTATTGAGATATCAGAACATACTGGAATATTTTATTTTTTAACTTGTATATGACATCAGCAAGTCTGTGGCTGTTTCGTCTGTCCTCATTCTGCAGTTCTTTACCAGAGTCGGTTCTGTAACAGCTTAGCATGCAGTGGGCTCCCACTTTCTGTAGCGGGCACACTTGTGGGGAAGACTATGTTTCCAATCCACCCAACAACCAGCTCTGAAGATGTGGCAGCAGAAAAGCAATAGTAATAATACAGAGGATACAGAAGTCAACAATTACAACCACGGACTGATGTGATAGTCACAGCCCTCATCCAGTTCTCCTCGTTCAGTTCCTGTGAAAGAACAGCCAGACCCTGGGGCTTCGCTCTTGATGGCCTTGCCTGCCCCATCCACAGCCACCCTCCTCCCCTTCTCTCCATTCCACACCCTGACTCTTTAACCATGTTATAACCATGGGCTGTGGAAATGCCCCCTTTTTCTTCTTATCCTCTTCCTTAATCATCTCGATTGTTTCTGCTTGCAGTAATTTTCCTTTCAGAAGTAGATTGTGTTACTTCCATCCAGGTTGGATGGCTCTCTGCTGCTAGAGGAATGTCCTCAACACTCAAGGCTTCTAGAATTCATGAGTCCCTGACTTCCCATTCTTATTGTTGACTCTGCTTCTCTTCCTGAAGTGTGCCTCCCCAATCCCTGCTTTGTGCTAAGCATGAGGAACGGCATAGTGTCCTAGATACTGCTGGTTTGTGTGACCTCAGCTCTGGAACACCTCCGTCCAGGCCATTTGTTAACTCTTCTGGAATTCATGCTGTAGGTTTATGACTTGAGGGTCCAGAGCCAAGGCTGTGGCAGAACTCAGGTTGCCAGGGGTGACCGCATGAATGGTACTAGCTTGAGCGTCCATAACCAAGTCTGCAGAGATGTTCTGTGCTTCAATGGGAGGTGGGGAGAAGAGGTTCAAGGGCTGCTAGAAACACTAGTTTCATTACTGGTCTGGTTTGGAGTTGACTTTTGGTTGGGCTTTCAGAAACCCGTTTGTTGCTCAGGTTTTCTTGGCCTTGACGTTTAGCTGTATGGGCTGCAATCTATAGTTGAGAGAATTAGACAAGTCTTTGAGAGCACTGATCCAAAGCACAGGAAGTGGTAAGACGACTCGATGTGCCAAAAAGCAGGACAGGGATGTTTAACAAGTGTGAAGTGTGAACTGGGGAGAAAAATTGTGAGTCAAAGGATCAGAAACAGACTACTGTAACACACCCCTGGGCGCTGATTTTTCAGCCTCACAGGCAGGTGCAGTGTGAGCTTCAGGTTTGCTGGAACAGAGGAAGGGAGCGGCCAGACTTAGGAGACATTCCCATGGTATTGCTGCTATACTGCTCAGGCAAGCTTTTACAAGAGTTTAATGAAAAGAATGGCACGGTCCGAGTTGAAGGTAGCAGGCGTGAGTGTTCTTCATCGGCTTCCAGTCAAGCATGTCTGGAGTTATCTTCGCAGCTGGTTCCAGTTCTTCCATGTGCCTGGAGCTCTCCTCTTTCACACTCTGAGTATCTGTGGACCAGGGAGGTGGCCGATCTCAGCTCTGACCTGAGATGTGGACTGTTCTCCAGGTTCTATCTTCTTCGAGAAC